CTGTTAGGGCTACAGCAGGTTATACAGCCAAATCATAACAGAAGTGGGCGGACGTGGTCCGTGCACCGTTGCCGAGAAAATTGTGTAAAGGAGAGAGTTCGTGTGGCGGGAGTCGTCAGGCTGGCAGAGCAGAGCATAGGGTAAGTATCATCAACGGGGGGGTTGAACAGATTCCAAGTTGATACCTAGACGGGATGCTCCTGTAGTGTGTGCCATAGAAAGAAGACTTGCCTCCGGGAGGGACTGAAGAGGAGAATTCTCGTCGACAGATGCAGCTGAGATTGGGGGCTTCGTGTAAGCAACTAGGTACATATGTAGGAACTCGTATCTCGATTGATGGTTCCTGTCCTCGGCGCGGACCGCACGCGCTATCACGCAGGGGATATGTTCATGTACGGTGATGTATGCACATGCCAGTCCGTACTCCGTACCGTACATACATACTCCGTAAGCGTCGACATGGCGTAATTGACTCGCGCGCAGACGCAGGGTCTTATTCCATGACTATAAGCCTAATCATCCCATGTGGCAGCTGCATACATGCTCCGTACCTACCTGTACGGAGTACGCGACATGAAAAAGCACGTATGTGATCCCTGCTGAGCTGGCCCTGCAGCCTCGCGAGTCGCAGCTCGTGTCTTTCGGACCGCCTTGTTTACTCTCTCAGCTGAAGCACATACATCACCGCCAGGGCACGGCGGTGCTCGGCGAGACCCGTCAGGAACTGATGCTCACGTGTGTTCGCACGACGGAGGTCCGGAAGGGAGCGTGTCAGCTGCATGCAGTATGGGGGGCGGGGGGGGGCGGTCTATATCGCGCAAGATATATGACTACTGTACGAAGTAGGGGCTCTTAAGTGTAAAAGTGAGTCTGACCAGTTAAATAAGGCTGTGCCGTGCGTTTGCATATGTCGAATTGGAAAGTTGAAACCGTGCCTGACCTGGTGTGTGAGAGAGAGAACGAGTTCAAGCAAGGGGGGGGCATACGAGGGCATACGACGCGGGAATAGGAACAAGAATTTTGCGGCTTGAGATTTGTGAATGACTTTGGAAAGATAGAAAGGAGATCCAAGGCGTCGTCAGCATGCTGAGAAGAGAGTAACTATGTACCTGAAATGCAGCACGAACGTACATGTACATGTACATACATACTCCGTACATAGGAGAAAAGAGGCGTCCCATTGTCCATATACATACACTCCGTGGTCGGAGTCCGTACAAAGTGTCAAAGAAATCAAGAACACATGAAAAACGCAAAAAATCAACAAGTTACATGAAGGCAAAAAGGGAAAATCACATGCAAATCAACACTCAAACCGGACAAAAAATACGACACCCATGCTGCAGTAGCCGGTGCACGATTTGTATAGGAATAGCCCGATGCGGGGGTCGAACCCGCAACCTTGAGATAATCTCTGCACAAGGCATAAGAGTCTCACGCTCTACCGATTGAGCTAACCGGGCAGGCGCCCAGATAGTGCACCGGTTGCTGGTTGATGGGTAGTTGTTGTGAACGACTCGTTCATATTGCAGTATATAAACCCAGCAGAAGAATTTTGCTTGCTTTGCTTTTCGGCAGCAGAAATTTTGTGGTGTGGGACCTTTGCCGGCTCTCGCGATTCATTGGATGGGGGTCGGGACTCAGGGGGTACCTTGCGCGGCGCGCCAAGCAGATGGGGCTATCAGCGGGGATTGTGCCGGGCCCCGGTTATAGTTTACTGCGGTGAATAATGCGATTGTGCTGATTGGTGGGTCGCCATGTGGATGTTGGGCTGCATGGAACAAGGAACAAAATCAAATTAAACAAGGGTTCTGCTCGGCTGGCAATGCCTTCACTCTGGAGTCTTCACAGTATGTATTCTATGTTCACTGTCACGTCACGTGTGTACCTGAATTTTGAAGTCACTGTCCTGTCCTGCGCTTCGAGTGACACGACTCGTTGCACATGTGAATTTAAGTATTTTTATTGAGCAATTTGGGGGGGCATAATGGTGATGTATATGTGACTAAAGAGCTAGGTCACTCGACGAGTGAGAAGGTGGAAAATATGTGCGTCTGGCTGGTAAGGCCGTCACGTGATGCGGCTCCCAGCACCGAGCATGGCTTACTTCTCAACAATTTTGGGATTTGTACCTAGGTTGTTGAGTAACCAATGGATGAAGTTGGATGGAATGAACTTGTGTGAGATGGGATGGCAAACTCGGGATTACGGAACTCCGAGTCCCGACTCACGAAAGTACTCCGTACGAACTCTGTGCCCGAACATGTACATACCTACATTGAATTTTGGAACTACATATGTACATAGCCTGAATGCCTAGCTAGCTAGGTACATATGTACATAGTTAGCCTGGATCAACTTGGATGAGATTGGAAAATCATCCGAGATATATATACTTACACGAACATGTACATTGAAGTTTTGACCAACCTACTCCGTTTAAACAACCTACTCCGTAGCCTAAAAGCCTAGCTACTACCGCTCTCCGTCTGCTCCTCATGCTCAGTCCACCGCAACGCCTCCTCCACATCCATGACAAAATGCGACTCCCCTCCACACAGCGCCACTATCCCACTCCGCTGCATGAGCTCCCACACCGGATGATCGCGACGGCTAGGCCCGCGGGAGAAAAAGATGCGCACCCCGCGCTCGCGGTAATTGCGCACAATCTCCTCCAGCACCTGCGTGCCGGACCCGTCCATGGACGCCACGCCGTGAATGTCAAAAATGACATTACGGTTGGAATCCTGGCTGCGAAGCCGCGGCAGCGCAGGATGTGCGGCCGACGTGCCGTAGAGCTCCAGCCGCCGCAGCCGGGCCTTGAGCTCGCCCGTGTTGGCAAAGGTGAGGGGCTCGGGAATCTTGACGATGAGGCACCCCTCGATGAACTCAAGGCTGTGGTTCCCGGACTCGGCATTGTCGAAGCGGTTCGTGCCGGGGATGCGGCCTAGGATCTGGATGCGCGGTCGTGTGCTGTGCTTGATGACGAGTAGGATCGATATCCCGACACCGAGGGCCATGCCCAGCGTCAGTGAGTAGAAGATGGTGGACAAGAAGATAATGGCCATGAGGCCGAGCTCTGTCCAGCCCCGGATGCGGAGGAAGAAAGCAATATCGTGCGGCGCCTCTTCTATCAGCGAGTAGGCAACGACAGAGATCATGGACGAAAGGACGGGTTTCTAATATGAACTGTCAGCCTCACCACGTTGACGCACAACAGCAACAAGTCTCTATTGGGATAGCAGAGGCGAAGCCAACAACGACATCAGAAGAGAAGAGAAGGGGCCCTACCGGTAAAAAGTAAAAATACGGCAGGAGGAACAGAATCGCCAAGAGCGTAATCACGCTCAACAACATGGAGCTCACGGGACTCTTCCCCCCCGTCGTCTTATTGACTTTACTCCTGCCATAGCCCCCAAAGGCAGGCAAACTCATAAAGCACGCCCCGACAAGGTTCGCCGTGCCCAGCGCAATCATTTCGCGGTTCGCACTCAGCTCAATCCCCGAAATAGCGTCGTTGCCACCCAGACTCTTGGCCGCGACGGAGGACTCGAAGAATCCGAGCAGCGCAATCAGAAAGGACGTCGAGAGCGCGGAACGGATGTGCTTCATGTAAGAAAGTCGAAAAGGCCAACGAAAGGCAAAGACACCTCCGCTAGCGGCCTTGACGCTGCCGAGGATATCGACGCCGTGTTGGTCCCATCGAAAGTGCCGGCATAGAATGGCGGAGACAACAACGACGAAAAATCGGTCTGGGAGGAAGGCAATGGAGGGAAATCTGGGTTCAAGGCGTTTCTTGAGTTCGCTGCATCAAAACGTCAGCAATTTGCTTCAACCGGCTCGCTCATGAAGTCACTTGAACCATAGCCCAGAGATGAATGAGACTTTACTGAAGAAAGAGAAGAGGAGAGAGAGGAGGGAGGGACTTGCCGAAAAACCATAATGACCAGAAAACTGACCCCCGCAATCGCAAACGTCAACCGATGAACCTCGCCAACATTCTCCAAAATAAAGTAAATCTTCTCCACGGTGCTCCCGTGACTTGCACCCTCCCGACTAGCCACCTCACTCAACCCCAACTCCGGAATAAGCTGATCAACCGCAATCACAAATCCAATCGCACTTATAAACCCCCTCAGCAGCGGCCTACTCAACACGCTATCCAAAAACCCCAGCCTCGCCACTCCCGCAATCAACACAATCGCACCCGCCATCCCAGTCACCACGCCACAGATCTGCGCATGCATCAAGTCCTCATCCTCGCCCGTATTACCGCTATCCACGCTCTGCTGCACCACCGTCCCCACGAGCAAAGAACCCGCCGCTTCAGGCCCAACGACCATCTGAGGACACGAGCCCAAGACCGCATAGATGAACGGGTTAAGCACAAACGCATACAGGCCATGAATCGGCGGCACGTGCGCCAAATTCGCCGCCAGAGATAGTGCCATGGGTAGGTAAAACGAGGCAATCGTGATGGCGGACACCAAGTCCCCCTGGAGATACGCCCACTTGTACTGCCTCATCCATTTCAGACAGGGAATGTAGTACGCCAGATACATCAAGGGCGTGTCGTGAAAGCCAGCCTGCTGGGCGAGTTCTCTGCTCTGGCCCATTTTCCGGGTCCGCATTCTGCCGCCGAACCAGAGCTTCCATCCCGCAATGCCGCCATCGGAGGAGGTTTTGCAGGCCGAATTGTCAAACAGGCCTGTGGTATCTGCGTCTGCGGTGGTGGCACCCGCAGAGAATGGGAATTCCGCTTCTAATGGACTCGTGGGCCGGGGGCTAAAGGTGCCGTGTTCGCAAATGCCCGGGTGTGCGGTCGATCGTCTTCGGCGGCTCCTCTCCGCGGGAATCAATGGCGTGGATTCGCTGGGATTCTCTCTTTGCTCGTTCTCGTCAGGACTGGAGGGTGGGAGTGCTTCTCGAAATTCCGGACCGCTGTCCTGACTGCTTTCTCGGCTGGACGCTACATGGCTCTGGCGGAGTGTACTGGGCTGCAGCGGCCTGTGGTCGTTGTTGGAGGACGAGTCCTCGCGCCTGCGGGCGGGTTGCCCTGTCATTTGCCCTGGATGTCACTCAGAAATTGCATCGGGGTTGGCAGTGGGCAAGGCGGAGGCGGAGACTATCGGCGGCTTTGGTGGCGCGCGCGTTGCTGTTGTTCGTTTCTGGAAGTGCGCGGGAATGTAGAAAGGACGAGATGTGGAAACTGGGAGAGTCAACGGTCGGGAGAGGTAGCAAGTGGAAGGGATGTATCGTGTGGTTGCAAAGGGGAGACAAGCTCTTCGTTGCAAGACGCGGAAGTTAGGTCGTTGCACCACAACGTGCCTCCGCAAGACGTTTTGGTCAGCAGTTGTAAACTTATCACCGGTCGTCTTCTCGTGCCTGACTGGTCACTACTTTCGCGCTAAACTGCCCTTCCAACTTGCCAAGCTGTAGCGCCCCACCTATTGTCCGCCGCGTCGGTACCTCGGCCCTCCCGAGTCTAACTATTCGGCTAAGCACCCACCCAACGCAGTATGTACATAGTTTCAGAAAAAAGGGGATTTCGATACGTCAACGCCCCAATGACCACACCCGTGACCCAAGCTGCGGAGGTACCAACTTTCTTCCTTTCAACCCTCACGTCAACAACGCAAGCTATCAACACATCAACAGCACCATTGATATAAGCTCTACGGCTTCAATTTTTTCGTCATAATATTGTTTGTCAACCCCTTCCATCGAACTGTACAACGATACAGTATATAGTTCCGTTCCGCATGGCGCAGCAATGGACGAACACTTCGTTGGCGAGCCGCCTCAATTTGAAACAGTTGTCAAGTTTCTCTTCTCGCCTTCTTGCTCAGATGGGATGCTGATAAGGGTGTTGCTTTCACAAAGCGCTCATCTAGTAACCGTCGGGCAGATGCAGCCAACATATTACCGGCTCTATTTACACTGAACAGATATCTGACATAGACATGCAGGACGCCCTTGATCCGGTGCACGACCTCATCTGAAGGGAACGGCGGCAACCCGCCCGCAACAAGTGTAACGATTCCTCTATGAATGGAGATGCTTCCAGCGTCATCCTGTCTACTAGGGCACTGATCAGAGAACCTCAGAGGGCTCACAGGCACCGAGGCCACAGCTGCCGTCAAGACGAGCGATGAAGGTTCAAGGGCGTAGTATGTACCAGGCCCAGTTCGAGCATAAGACGTGTAAGAACCGAGGTAGAATGGATTGAAGCGCGAATGATACGCGGTGGGTACAGCGGCTGAGACTCGAGTGGAGTATCTAGTTGACATGGTAATAAAGCCCGAGATCATGAATTGAATTGCGCAGTCGCCTGCGCTCCTTGTCTCCTTCTTAGCTAGCCGCCTCTCAATCAATATGCGTTGCTCATCTATATGCTTTTTCTATGTTGAATGACCCTCTTATGCACTGAAAATCTAACATGCAACTTCCAAATTGCGAGGAT